GTAGTAGTAGTAGTAGTAGTAGGTTGGGCGTTTTCAAGAAGGTCTTCAAAGGCATGCGCACAAACCGCATCAACAATGTTCTTTCCGCATAGACAATGTTTTTTCCGCAGCAACAATCTTGTTTTATACACATTTTAATTCTTTTGGATTAAAGGAATAACTTTCCGAACACTAAAAAAGAACTCTAAACATTTTTGCAAAAAGTTTACAATGTTCTAAAGAACTTGTCAACATGCATGTCCGAACACTGGCCGAACACTAATATAAAGCTACAAATTTCTCTTTGTATTTATAAATAACAACCGTTTGTCGCCCGAACACTAACCGAACACTAACATTTTTTGTACACTTCTTTCCTTGTTTGAGCATTGTAACTTCTAGAAGAAGTTGTAAAAGAAACTTGCAACTTTAAAAAAGAAGTTGTTGAAAGAAGTTGAAAGTTGTCAAAAGAAGTTGAAAGTTGCCAAAACAAGTTATGAAATAACGTTGCTATGGCTGTGTTACGTATAGGCTTATTCCAGGTACAACCATCGCAGACCTTTTGAACACACTCAAAGTAGTAATAGTAGTAGTAGTAGTAGTAGTCGTAGTAGTAGTAGTAGTAGTCGTGGTGGTGGTGGTCGTGGTGGTGGTGGTGGTGGTGGTAGTGGTGAGTAGTAGTAGTAGTTAGCTACAGCCACCACCACCCAATACAAAGTCACCTGGTGAAGAATATGTGGGTGCTGTGCACACACCCCGCAGATACGCACCGTCCCCCCATGGGCATCGCCGGTTGGCGAAGCGTGTCATTTGTATTTCCAGGTCTACCCTCAAGTGACGCGCCCTCAAGTGGCGCCAAAGCACCCAACGTACTACTGTAAGGCTGTCAACTGGTATGGTTCACTTTACGCTCTCCGGAGAAAACGGTGCTGGTCACCTGGGCCGGGCACACTCTGAAAAAAATATAACAAGTCAAAAGACACTCTCTGACTCCAAGGGTGGCACAGACGCACACTAGGAACCATAGACAAGCTTCCCAAAAAAATCGGAAACAATTGTGGAACAGAAGGTCAATCAGTGGTAACCATAAATAAAGCTAGAACTCCCGCGCCTCAGTCTTTTCCACACCTAGACTGATGCCTGTGTCCTCGATCCTGGTCTAGTCACACACTAGACTAATCCTGGCCAAGGTCCTAATGTCCAAGCAACGTAGTGGCCACTGTATTTTGATTGGTGCCTGGACCTTGAGCCAGCCACGTTCCAGCTTGCAAATGTTCCTGGAATGCCCGGTCATGGTTGTTCATTTGTTCTATTTTAGCACTTTTTTTTGTTCCCTGAGCATTCTATATTTATGGAAAAACAGAACGTGCAACAGTCCTTTTGAATCAAACTTGCCAAAGACTGCATGCAAGGAAAGGGAAACAAGACAAAGCACAAGAGGCCCAAGTGACCGAAGAGAGATGAGCGATTGGGCAGCAGAGTTCCAATTCAGCAAAATGGAAGTCAGATGTAGGGCATGCTGCACGTCGATCCGGAGGACATGATAGAGTTGCGGCGCCAGCGGCAGATGCGCGAGGACAGGTTCTTCGAACGATTGTCATTTACAGTAATTGTGTTTTCTTCAAGGGATAGGACACCCCTCAGACAGTGGCACGCAACACCTCACCCTGTTCGATGACTTTGGTGGACAGCAGTCTTTCTCCCCAGTGGCTACATTCCGGCTTTGACCCGGTGATTGAAGCGCCTGCTAGAGAAGTTCGGTCGAAGGTTAAGTTTCCCTAAGAATCTAGGAGCCAAATCACTAGTGCGAGCGCTTCCTTGAAGAAGTGTGATCTATCCTGCGTCCAGTTGCTAGAAACTGTAGTAGCTAGGAGCTTAGGCGCCCACTTAATTAAGTAAGGAGGCAGGGCCACGGGCAAAAAACATTGCCCGAAGCAAGGTCACAAAGTTTGCTTGGTTCATGGGGTTGTTACGAAGTGTGTGGTGCCAAGACTGGCACGTCTGAAAGCGCCTGACTCCAAAGCTCGCGTCAACCACAAAGTTGTGCTACCAGTGTGATTGGGACATCGGACCGTGCTAGTAGGGTTTTCATGGGTTCTCAACATTTTTTCAAAGTACCCTCTTACAGTGAGAACACAGTGAGATGTGGTTGGATCAGTGAGATGGCAAAAGTTTTCTTAATTGCCAACCCGAGAGGAAGCAGAGCGGCAAAGGGCAGCTCAACTGTGTGCTAGATGACCGCGTGAGCAACAACTGGGTCAGGAACGGCTGTGCGTGTCCGCCAGCCACTGTATGACCGAAGTTTGAACTTGCAGCCTTGTACATAACGAGCTGTGAGTACACTATTTTGAATTTCGGTTGTGCCACACTGTCTTTTGGATCTTTCAACTTACTTCCAATTGTGTGGACTCACTAGCTGCATAGGTGGCAAAGCACCATCAAGGCATTCTCATTGGCCTTCAAGTCTCACTGAAAACAGTATTGTTTGCCGGAAAGAAGCACGTTTTGCAAACCTTTTGTTTCTTCGTGTGTGCGTGGTCTTCCTCTCTCTCTCTCTCGACCCTTGACGTGCGACTCGTTTGCTGCTTTCTAAGTCCGCCACGGCGGCCAACATTTTCCAAGCAGCTTTGACCAATGCGCAAAGCGTTGGGCAGCGTCTAGGCCTCAGCCTGAGAGCTTTCCGGATTGAGATTCTGAAGTCCAGACAAACAAGAACTATGACAATAATTATATATTACGAAAGCCAGCCGATAGGCGTGGCTGGAGGCTTTGTGAGCGAACGAAGTGAGTTAAGGGGGTGTGGGGGGAGGGGGACCCAAAACGTAAGAAACTGAGAGGGTGAACCTTGAGCCTGCTGGGGGAGAGCGCCCAAAGTGAGGGTCAGAAAGCACTGAACATGATGCAAACATGGGGGCATGGTGATGCAAGTGATGCAATTGACGCCGAGTGGTGCATCATTAGCATCATCAAGGGCTCCGGTGAGCACTTTTCTTGCCTCGGACGGGCTGCTGGGAACGGTGAGACACGTCAGCGTGAACGCAAAGGTTGGGTACGAACCTAAAGCATGCACACCAAGTCCTTGGACATCCTGCACCCCATCGCTTGAGTCAAGCTCTCAAAAGCAAGGATATCGACATGTCCTGGCCAAGCATGCACGACCGGTCAATTCACATTCGTTGTTGGACTTCAATCAAAGAAGCTATATAGATGGTATTGACTGGACCAGCAAAGCAGGCAAAACATACCCTAGTCTATATAGTGGCTGGAGGCTTTGTGAGCGAACGGAGGGGGTGTGGGGGGGAGGGGGGCCCAAAACGTAAGAAACTGAGAGGGTGAACCTTGAGACTGCTGGAGGAGAGCGCCCAAAATGATGTAAAAATGGGGGCATGACCTGGCCCGGAATCTTCTCCGGAACCTGCTCCGGAATCGTTTGTCGAACCTCCTCCGGATCCGCTCCGGAACCTCGTCCGGGACCTGCTCCGAAGCTCGCTCTGAGTCTGCTCCGAAGTCTTTACTATGGCAGAAGACCCCTGAGCTTCGCTGTTGGGGAATGATGATTGCTTCAAACTGGAACTGGTTGGATGTATTGGGGCCAGTATGGTAGTTGGTCCCTATCAGAAAGGGGCCCGTGTAGGGTAGTTGGTTGGCAGCGACAAGTTGCTATCAGAAAAGGACCCCGTGTAGATAGCAACTTCTCTGTGTTTTATGTCTCTGTGTTTTCTGACTCTATGTCTCTATGTCTCTATGGTTCTGTGTCTCATGCCCCGACCTCAGCCCTGCAGCCGCCGTCGGAAAAACAGCTGGCTTTCGGCCTCCCCCATATATATATATATATATACATACGTGGGTGTATGGCTCAAGCTTCTCGGCTCAAGATTGGACCGGCTTGGCACTTTGCGTGGACTTCGAGAAGGGAAAGGACACCTCCGACTACATCCAACCTTTGTGCTGCTGGAGATCATGAAGAGATCCTATGCTGTCTGCCAAGGATGCCACCAAAGTTGGATCTGGGAAGACCGCTTGGTGCACAGACCAGGCTTAGCATGCAATCGGTGCGGGAGGAAATGGAAGGCAGCAATGGCACCAGATCTTCGGCGACGAAGGGTGGAATGGGCTTCATGGAATTTCCAGCAGCAGGGGCAACAATGGCCCAAGAAAAGCCACAAGGAAGCCTTCATTTCTCCACCACCTGGACTTCATGCAGGCAGACCTAAGAAACAAAAGAAGAACAAGGACATAGAGAAGAAGCTGCAGGAACATTGGACGACGATCCCAGATGCACTGCGCAGCCAGTTGGAGGCAATGGGAGTGAAGGGATCAGAACCCCCGCCACCTCCAGATCTGCCTACACTCATCAAGGAGCACCTGCAGAGCTTACCTGTTGAGTTCAAGGAGGAGGTGGAGAAGATCATAGAACCGCCAAAGGCGGACCCACCTTTGAACCAGAAGCTGAAGTAGGCGGTAGGCGCCCTCAAACAGCTCTCTGAGAAGAAGGCGGCGGTGCAAACCAAGGCGGACAACGTCAAGCAGCAGTACACTCAGCTACTACAAGAGTTGAAGGAGATCCAAGCCAGGATTGAGGTGGCTCAGAAAGAATTGCAGGAGACCACAACTCTCTATAACCAGCAGCTCGAGAAGGACAAGCAGGTTGAGGATGACCAGCAGCTACCTGAAGAGCTAGCAGCAGAAAACCTGCTGACAGTGATGGCCAGCATTGGCCATTCACCAACCACGGAGCAGGTCAAAGAGTTTGCCCAGAAGCTGAGTGAGAATGTCGTGAAAAGACGGAAGTGTGGGTAACAACACCTTTTTTAGACCCATGCCTACCAGTGAGAGGGGTGAGACATATGCATCACGTGCGGAACACCTAGGGGACATTGGTGCAAAGCATGGATTTGCATATGGAAATTTTGGCTCAGTCAACGTGGGTGGGGAAGCCCGCGGACCACCTACTACATGTGGGGCACCAGCAAACGAAGCTTTGCCGGTGATAGCCAGCGAAGGAGCACTTTTTCCTTGATTTTGTGGAGGATTTGGGGACAAGTCCTACGACCACCTTGAAGACAGCTACATGGACGTTGTGATGCGCCGCAACCTGGTGCGGAGGCAGCCCCACACAGCAGGACGAGTCTTGACTGTGTGGCGCAGAATTTGCAGAGGTGCTTTGCAAATGGACCATTCCGGCTCTGGGCTTGGGCTGGGAGCTTCATGAATGGCCCGGCATTGTGGAAAAAGACGCAAGCTGTCGATGATGATGCGGTGGTGAACATCACCACCCTTGCGACACTGGAGCCCTTGTGGAACATGTTCAACGAGGCAGTTCAGGGTGATGCAGCACACTTTCTCCAACAGTTGGTCACGCTGGCTGACTCGGAGGTGGTCATCAAGCAGTACCATCATGTTGATTTCCGTCAAGAAGTACATTTGAGGAATGCGTTCCCTACTCACCTCATTTTCCCTGAAGAAGGAGGAGAAGAGTTTGAAACCTTGATCTCGACCTGGGCAAACACGGCAGAGGGACAGGTTTTGGCAGGTAGGGGCCTGTGGGTGGCTCAAATTGGGCGCTATGCCCAGCGCAAGGGAGAATGTGCCAAAGCGCAACAAGGCGCTTTCAGCTGCTGGTCTGTCTGGATGGGGAGACGACGACAACAGAGTAATACTCATTGATAGGACTGCTTTTCATTCAGGAGATGTGCGTCACAGTGGCCACTTCTATGCAATCTTTACCTACAGGGGATTGTGCTGGCTAGTGGATGATGGAGCATACCCAAGGGTCTTGCCTAGCTTGCAAGAGAACATCAATCAGCAAATCGTCCAAGTTTGGGCCATGCCATCAGCGCAGCTGCTACCAACACAGATCAACTGTGATTTCCCTACCAGCAGTCAGACCAGGGCCACGCAAGAGCCAGATGCCAAACGAAGATGTCAACCCCATATCACCTTTACTGTTGCAAAATGTCACTAGGTAGGGGCAAGCCGTACGGCAATGGATAGGAGGGAGGCCCAGAAGCCCTATCTTTGTGGCTGAGACACACTTGAGTCCAGATGATCGTATGAAAACCACACAATGGCTGAGCGCAAGGGGCTTCGGTGTTTTAGGCCACCCAGCAGCAGAAAGTCCAAGAGGGGGGACCTATGGCGGGCTGATGGTCATCTACCCGGCTCACATGCATTTTCACTATCTGCGCCATCTGATGACTGAAGGATGTGGATGGTATGCAACTATGTGAACCTTCAGCAACATCAAGATCATCGTGATCGTGGCATACTTCAAATGTGGTGAAGGAGTACAAGGCAAAACGAATGCCGCATTGTGGGCTGGGCTGATTGCGTTTGTCAATGGGGTCAACCAGCCCGTCATCATCATGGGTGATTTCAACATCACACCAGGCGAGTTCATGGCCACTATAATGCGCGCTGTCACGCAGGCCCAGATGGTAGCGACAGGAGAAGAAACATGCAGCACGGGCAATGAACTGGACTGGGCTTTGGTCTCAAACCAACTGAGCCCGGACATCATGGTTCAGACATGCTGGGAAGTCCTGTTCAAGCCACACGCGCAGTTGAATTTCAAGCTTGCAGTGGAAGCTGAGGCAATGGTGGTCCAACAGATCACGCGATTCAACCCAGCTCCAAAATTTGGGCGCCCCGCCAAAGAATGGGCGCAATTTGAGATGGTAGAGAAGGCAGTGAATTGGCTGGACATGGAAACTCGCAAATCTGGGGCATTGTATGGGAAGATTGAGAATTGCGCGCTCCAAAATTTGGACAATCCCACCAAAGGCAGAGGAGTCAAGCTTCAGCTCCAGCAAAAGCCCTTGAGTGATCCGAGCAAACCCTGGTTGTGGAAGAAAGGAAGTTTGTCCTACTGGAACCAGATGGAGCTACGGCTACAGCAGGTGGCGCACAGAGACCCCGCCATGACCCCGCCAATTGGCTCAAATCGAACGACTGGGCTGGCGCATTGCGCAGCACTGGCTTCAGTATGCTGTTCCACATGCTCTGGGGACAGTATGATCAAGATCATGTACAAGCTCTTCCACAATATGCCAAGCAACAGCGTGAACTACACCAACAAGCAAACCTAGCTGCGGAATCCGAGATCCACAGAGAGTGGGTGGCCAAAGCCAGTCTGAAGGGACACCGGGGCCTCTTCAGAACATTGAAGAAAGATGAGCAACCTTTCTCACAACCGTATCAACAGCTACCCAGACAGGAACACATGGCAAAAAGAGTGCAGCAATGGGGAGAAATCTGGGGTGTCAGAGATGACCAGCACAAGGTGAGCTCCTTGCCCGCGATGATTGCCAAAGGAAGAGAGCATGCCAAACAAATGACACCCATCACGGAGAAAAAAGTTTGGCGCACGATCAAAGAGCTCTCCAACAAAGCACCGGGCTTAAATGTCATTGGCTTTGATTTCCTGAAGGCTCTCCCATACACTGCAATGAAAGACATTGTCACCTTCTACCACCAGATTGAGGAACATGGCACGGTGCCACAACTATGGCTGGTCTCGCTGATTGCAATGCTGCCCAAGTCAGAGGTGATTGAGCGGCCAATTGCGCTGGTTGCCACTTTATACAGGCTATGGTGCCGGGTCAGGAGCAACATGGCAGAACCAATTAGAGGAAGAATTCCCATGGGAACGAGCC